GAGAGAATAGAGTAAAAATCATAAAGTATTAGTTTGACAAACTCTAGTAGTATTTAGAGCAACAGAATGGAAGGTATGCTAATAAGTAATATTTGAGGAAGTGTGAAATCTATAAAATTGAAGAAATACATGAGTTTCTGAACAAAAATGCATTTTAAGCACTAAGCAAGATAACTGAAAATAAATTCTTATCCTGAAAAACTGTAGTGAACCTACTAAACATAAAATATAAATTTTTTTCAACTCATAAGTAAGAATCAAATTGATTTGTTTTCTAGCCCAAAGAATATAGAAAGAATAAGGAAAGAAGGAAGGGAGGCCAGGGATATAGCTCAGCTGCATAGTGCCTGGCTGGCAAACATGAGGTCATGAGTTCAATTCCTGGTACAAAAAAAAAGAAAGGGAGAACATTTACAAAATGCCCCCATTCTACAGGCAGCTTCTTAGCAACCAAAAACTGAAGAAGATAACTGAACAATACATTCAAATGAATAAAACAAAAAGAAAAAGAAAGCAAATTATAATTTTTAACTCAAAAGACTATTTGATTTCAAACATTATAAAACTGAAAGCACTTAGAAACTACAGAAAGTATGTCTGAAAAGATATTGAATAAAACACTCAACTATTTGCATATGTATTGTGTTCATAATTGCATACAACTAATTTTTATTCTCTTGTCTGTTTCTTCCTAATAAAGGTCGTGAAAGTGACCTAACAGACCATTCAAATGATTTTAATTTGGGGCTGGAGGAATGATTTGGAGATCTGACTATGTGTAATAGAGCATATATCTAGGAATGAAAGGAGTAAAACTGAAATCCAGAAGGGCAAGCACTAAAGGAGATTAAAAGTGCTTGTCTACTCTTAAGATCCTAGAATCTGGCAAGGAGGATGTCTCTTTGGGATACACTAACTGGAGAAACAAATCTTGGTCATAAAAACAGGGCTACAGGTATTTTTATGTCCACTTCAGGAAAAATCAAAATGGAGTCACCCATGCTACAGTTCTACATGACCAAACCAAAATTAAGAAATCAGGAGCATGGGGATATCCCCAAATTTCCCAAACAGGCTAATCAGTATGACAATGAATTTCCCCTCTGCTTAATCAATATAGTTTTTAATTCTTTAAAAAAATTATCTAAAGTATTCTGATGTTATCCAATTAGTTTTTTTCTATTATTGTTTCCTTGTCCCCTTCTTACAAGGAATATAGGTTTGAAATGACCAACCTGGAGTTTTTCTGCTTTTCTCAACTCTTCTCTGTATATAAGAACAACCTTTGCCTGAAGTATTGCCTGATTTCAGGAATTGCAAACTCAAATTAAGATCTTTAAACTTTAAACTGCAGTAAAATTGCACTTTGACACTGAAAAGCTCAACAATACAGAGGGACCAAAACCCAAGGTTTTATATTATAGAAATGGTGCTACGATTTCCCCTTTTACAAAGGAAAACTAAGTCGCAGTCTGTTAAATTTTTGCTCTTTCTCAAAGCAGTGTGTCTGTGATTGGCTCTTTAGTTTCCCTAACCCCTTTGACTCTGGCTCCCAAGCACCCCTACAGGTGCCCCATTGTGTGGTTGTCTTCTGCTACAGTGAATTATCTGGCAGCTCATTCACTATCTCTGGAATCTACTAAAAACATTCTGCTAAAATGAACTACAAATTTTAGGGCGAAATATTTCCTACCAGGTAATGTAGTTATTTTCAGAAGCCCCGAAAGGAGTGGTTTAACACAAAATAGGGATTCCAATAGAATCAGTGAGCTCCTTGATGACTCTTTGTGACTAATAGATCTTCACTATTAATTCACCTCTGCATGGTGGTTTTAGTGACTGTTATCTACAACAGCAGGAAATGAGTGTCAAAAGCAACCACAGAAACATTACCTTCAGACAGTCATCCACAAAGGAATCTAGACAAATCTGGGGGAAAATAGTATAACTTTCTACAGGGTATAGAATGCGAGTTTGAGCCAATTTCATATAAGTCTTAGAGAGAAGAAAACTTTAACTACAACTCCAGATGTATTAATTGGGCCAGGACAACTGGGCAAGAGAAAGGAGAAGCCCTGGGATGAAGTGGTAGTGCTGGGCTGTGGTACTGCAGGCCTATAATACCAGCTCTGGGAGGCTGAGGCAGGAAGAACACAAGTTCAAATCCTGCCTGAGAAACTTAGCAAGACCTTGTCTCAAAGTGAAAAATAGATAAAGGGCTAGTGATATAGCTTAGTTCGAGGTCTCTCAGTACAACCTCTAATACTATGAGACACACAACTGAAATCATTGCCAACTCTTCACGTACAATTAAAAGCAACAAGTAACACAGACACTATTTATTTTTAAAGAAAGAAAGGAATCTATTTGGATTTTATCTGTCTTCTTAGGGCATATCTCTGCTTCCTGGACTACTAAGCAGTGACCTCGCACAAGGCTGGCATCCAAAGGGAGAAAGAAGAAGCAGTTGGCCCAGATAATCCATAGCAAAAATGCAGGGCTGAATAATTCACTTGATGACACAGATTAAACAGAACCGTGAAACAATTCTGTTTCCTATTCCCATATTTTGTCATTGAAATTAGACACCTGAATGGCTGCTCTTCCACTTGAAGCTTAAGCCTGAAGGAGAGCTGAAGGCTGAAAAGTGTAGAAGGCCAGAGTTTTGGAGAATTAGGTTATGATTTGTTCTTTGTATTTAAAAAGTTAAAAAGAATTTCCAAGTGCCATGATCGCATTAGCTGCTGCTCTCCGGCTACCGCCATAACACTTTTGAACCAGAGTCAGAGTGGTTTTGTGGGTTTTGGAAAATAGACAGATTCCACATCAGGAGGGGGTTTATTTATTTATTTTGTACTTTTTGTGTTTGGAGATGAAGTCTCGCTATGTTGCCCAGGCTGGTCCCAAACTCCCAGGCCCAAGTGATCCTCCTGCATAACTGGCATTATAAGTATCTGCACCCTGCTCAGTCTGACTTTTCATGCTGGCTGTCTGAGGATTCTTTGCATCCGAGGGCTTTTCCTTTCTCTTGCCCACTGCCTCTGGTTCAATTAATATTGAACTACCCCAAATATTATCAATTACCTTCTCACTGCCATGTAACTTAAACAGTTACCATTCAGAAGAGTTATTGTTAAAGTTTTAATATTGATAACTCTCTCTTTAGGAGCTAAGAAGTTTCTAAGCAATTTCAAAGCAAAGTAAAAGCGAAAGTGACACCTGGACTTGGTTTTTGACAGATTTCTTGACTTTTACTTGTTCATGTTCAGTGTGCAGATGAGCCCAGCTGGGACTCCAGCTTTGGGGAGTCTGCTGCAGGGAGGACAGAGGATGTGATGGTGGGATCTCGCGAACCTGGATCAGACAAAGGTGACACTGACCAAAGCTGCTGGGGTCCTGGACGAGAAACCCTGCCACTTTTGAGTTAGGAGAAGTAGCCCAATGCCTTGGTCCAGCAACTGCACGCTGCAGCTACACTGCTGGTGTGAATCCAAGTTCTGCCACTTAGCACCGAGCTTTATTGATCTTGAGTAAATTACTTAACCTTTCTCTGTGTTAGAGCTCACATCTTAAAATGAAAGGTAATAGTAAGATCTAAAGCAGAAAGTTACTGTGATGCTTAAATGAGTTAAAATTTATAAAATGCTTAGAACAGTACCTGGCACAAAGACACACTCACACACACACACACACACACACATACCACACTTTCCAGCATACTTCCAAGAGCTATGGTAGCAGGTCACCACTCCTGGGAGGGGAGGCCTACTGCTATACCTAGGTTGGTGATGTGATCGTTTCGTATCTATATACCTCACACTCTTGGACTCAGAAAATCCTGAGCTAAGCAGCAAACAGGAATCCCAAAAAGCTTATCTCAAATAGCAGTGAGCTGAGGTGCATCTCTCCATACTAGTGCAGGCCTTCGTCACCCATAGCAGGCACGGAACAGTGGGTTCATGAATGGGTCCATGCTGGGATAGCTTCAACCCCAGTGCTATAGGCAGAGAAAATGAGCAGCAGGCAGGAGGAACTAAAAAGCATCGAGCTACCAGACACATGGCCTCAGTCGGCCAGAGTTTAGACATGAAGAAACTGAAACTCAAAAAGAAGCAGTAAACAGGGAAGGTCTGAGTTTTGTGAGGTCTGACACTTCTAGAAACATTTGGGAGGAAGGATCAGTAAGAAAAAGATTGCCCAATTCAAACATAAATATTCATGGCCGTTACAATGTCGGCAGACAGTAGAACGTGGCCGAGGAAGAGCGGCAGTGGAACAAAGACAGTGGTCTCCCTTCATGGTGGTTAAAATAGCTTACTGATTCAGATCTCATCAAATTGTAAGCGTAAGCATACGCTGCTCAGGCCAGCCTTCTGTGGGTTCTTGAAGGGGATTTGCAAAGAACTGGTGCTAATGGAGGGCCCTAAAATGTCAGCTTCGTTAACTTCGTGCTAAGTGGAGTAACATGATTAACTGAAGGGCTGTGGTTGTTAGTGAGCTGTGACTATGACCTGTGGGTACTGGGTAGTGGGAAAGGGAGTGGGATCCAGAGAGATAAGGCAGAAGCAAACACTCTATAACAGAAAAGGGCTTGTGGAAGCCCATTAGCTATTTCCTGAGGGCCTAAGAATTCCAGAAATGGGGGCAGAGAAGACCAATGAGGCTCTGTGTGAAGCAGAAGAGTAAATATATATGCACTCTCAGATGGGAGCCACTACATGGGCCAGTCTAGCCTATTTTGTGCACCAAGGCCCATGGCAGGTGAGGTGCTAAGGGAGGGCTCCTTCCCAGGTGAGGCCTGCTCAGTACCACCTGACACTTGGTCTTAACCATGAGAGCAGAACCTTCTTCAGGAAAGACTTTTGGCACACAGTGTTATGCAACATAAATCATACATGAGCAAAACCCACCATGCCCGCAGATGCATCTGCAATGGCCAGACCCATTGGGTGACAGTGAAAGGATTCTGGGACTTTACACAGAGAAGAAAAGTTCCTTACCAGAGTGCAGGAGGGCCATCAAAATGAGAATGTTACCTGGTCCCATGGTGCTAGAGCCAAAAAAAGAAAAGATAAAACTTGGTTAGAAAGTGAAATTGTAAGTCAGCATTCAGCAAAGTGTGAGCTGGAAGTGGAGTCTGGGATTCGCTTGGGTTCCCAGCTGTGGCAGACAGACAGTGCTGCATGCTCACCAAAGCCATTTCCTTGCCTTTCAGCTCCACGAAAGGCTGTATTTCGCAGCTTCCCCCACAGTTAGGCTACGTGTGTGACTAGCCTTCTGACCAGTGAAACTGTAGGGGAAAAGATAGATGTTTCCAGCCATGGCCACTCAGATGCAGGAAATGCAGAGAAAAAGTCCAAAGTTCTAGAGGAAGACAAAGCCTTAGAGAAGAAGCAGCTTTGCCAAACAACGTAGTGAAACGGTTCTTTCCCTACGACTGACCCAAACTCTCCTGTAAGATCAGTAAAATTAAGCTTTGATAGCATCAGGTAATGGGATTTTAGAAAGTATTTACCGATGTCACTGGCTTTACTTCTTTTGAACCCAGTGGCTATGATCCTGGAAATATATTTATGCTATGTTATGAAATATGGGAGATATTTATGTTTAGAAATCAACCCTTCTTTGGTTTCCCAGTGATTTTCAAACTTGAATGTGTGTTAAAATCACCTGAGGAACATGTAAAACAATTTCCTAGGCCTGGTTTACTAGGCTGGGAGGAAGGCTGTGAATGTTTCTAGCTAACAATCGCCCAAGTGATAATAATGCTTTGAGAAACACTGCACCACAGCATTCCCTGCATCTGCATGAAAATGATCCGCATGGATTCATAACCACCATATTTGACTTTCCCCTTTCTCCCTCCTTCTCCTCTCACATACGTACTCAACTAACACCAAACATGGCTGTAGAGTGGCTCACAAGGAAGCAGAGAATAAGGGAAGGATCAACATTAGAAACATCTGGAAAAGCCAGGCAGATAAAGTGGAGGAATATAAAATGAATCCAGGGAGAAGACCAAGACACACCATACCACAGAAATCTACCTACTTTGCATTGGATGGGATACAAGTTTGGCTCATAGATTTTGTTACTTTGTTTGGTTTTTGAGACAAAGTCTCAGTAGATAGCAGAAGGTGAATGCAAAGTGATGATCTTCCTGCCTCAGTCTCCCAAGTGTTGGGATAGTGGTGTCCACTACCACACCTGGCTGCCTTGTAGACTTTTAACAGCTAAGGTAAAAAGGAAAACCCAGCTGATGAATCAGTTCACAAGACTTTTCACTAATTTACAAGTGAGTCGATGAGAATAAACCAATGCTCAGGGGAACATACACAACTCTTTTTGTTATAAATGACCAAAATTTCTTCCTTTGGGGTGGGGGTGGTTGTTGAAAACTCGTTCTGAGGATCTGAGCCACATTAGGCACCCTTCTCCTTTGTCCTCTCTAGCACCCGGTCAGGACATTGAGCTAAGAGCATCTGTGTTAAACTGCTTCCCTTTCTTTTTTTTTTTTTTTTTTTTTTTTTTTTTGAGACAGGGTCTCGCTGTGCAGTTCAGGCTGGCCTTGAGCTCACTTTGCAGCCCAGGCTGGTCTCAAACTCACAATGATCCTCCCACCTCAGCCTCCCGAGTGATGGCATTACGGGCGTGAGGCACCACGCCAGGCTTCCCTTTCTTTTTTAATTAAGGTGACTGAATAGATGATACCTATATAAGAACTAACTTTAAAAAGCAAAGGTGATAAATAGTCGAAAGCAGGTCTTTCACAGCCCTAAGTAGCTTCCTTCCACAGACTTCTTTACCTGTTACCAGTTTCTTACGTCTCATTACAGTTCCTTTAGGGCAGACAAATCAAAATGCAAACATAAATCTATATGCTATTGTTGTTTTATTTTTAAACACAAATAATAGCATCCAGTACATAGCCTTGCATAGTCACCATCACCTTGGAACTGTTTGTATAAGTACATAGTGAATACTTTCACACTAATAGTGTCATGCTTTTGTACTGTACTTTACTGGAGGACAATAATTTTTTTTGCCATACACTACAGATGGACATTTGGGTGGTCCTTTTAAAATGAACATTTCTTATTACAAGTCTGAATATCTTTTCAAATATAAAGAATATGATTCCCCTTTCTGTGTACTGTCTACACATTTTTTTTTACCCACTTTGTCTTCCGCTTTGTGAAAAATGGATTTTCAGGAAGTTCATATATATACAGCACTTTATGACAATGTTACAAATGTCCCTGAAATCCACAGTAGGTATCTGGCGCGAACGGAATGGCTGGCTCCCGGTTGCTCTCTCCCTCCCCTGCAGTCATTTTAACAGGTTTTAACCCAGGCATGGTGGTAGCTCCTGGGGTGGTTATCTGGTGAGCCGAACCTGACACCTCTCTAGGGTTCAGCGTGGAAAGTTGATTCCTGTGTACATGATCACACTGAATCACTAACAGCACCCTGTTTAATCACAGAACCTAAGGACTTTGGCCCCTGTGAGTCTAAATTCTCATCTAAACACAGGAATTCCTTCTTGTTTCTGACCTAAAAATTAGTTTGGCTAACCTAAACAAAGAAAATTTTTTCTGCAGTGACACTGCAAACAGGGTCACAAAAGCAATGATATTTTGTATCCTTCACTTCTTCTCACTGATACTGGCTTTGTACTCTGAAACTATCCAGAGAAATCCTATCTCACTTCAGCCTGAAGCATTCTTTGAGGATTCAGGAATAGCAGTCACGGTTCTTCCAAGGAATGTTGCTAACATTAATTTAGAGATTGCACCATCCTAGAAAATACTCTGGACACTGTTTGTCAGTGACCTTATTAATATATGATGCTAAATACTTAATATTGACATGATCCTCTATTACACAGTCTAACTGTCCTGTGTGAAGGGTACCCTGCACCCCTAGCCATGGTGTGATGGTGCTGGGGGCTGAGGAAGGGGTTGAATTAGAAATCCACTTCTTCCAAAGCTGTTGCCTTAGAAGAAGAGCAGGAATATCACGGTTTCCTCAAGAGCAAACGCCCGACCCCAACAACAAGTCATGGCTTTCTTCAGAGAGAAAAGAAGTAGAAACACTTACTCTTAGAGGGAGCATGTGAAGAGGGGAATGGGAGAGGAAAGAACCTAAGAATTTATAGGGGGATTCTCTGAGAGGAGGTTTCTGTCAGCTATGAATAAAATAAGGTGTGTGAGGTAAGTGAACCAGTCAAAACCCAAAAAGAGCAGGCTTCACATAAATACTTCCACTCAAGAAACCAAAGAGCTCTGGTGTATATAATTTTCACTTACTTTACATGACCAACCCATCATAAACCAGTAGTAAGAGTCCATTGAGTGATTAATTACACTGCTGTCCCTCATGATGAGGTGATACTGTTTGTTCCCATATCATAGATGAAGAACCAGTGTTTGACAGAGGTTAGATATCTTGCCCTTGGTTACCCATCTAGTAAATGGTAGAGTTGAGATTTAGATTATCCAGCTCCATTGATTTCTATTCAACACTGGCAGAATCCATTCTTTAAAAATTTTATTTTAAAGAGAATAAAACCAAACAAAATAAAACATAATAAACCCAATCAAAACAGAACAGTGAAAGTAATACAGAATTTCAAAACAGGATAGTAGGAAAACGACAATATTATCACAATGCCTCTTGTTATCTTCAAAATTACTGTCTAACTGTCAGACATAATTAAAACAAAATGGAATAAAACCAATCAAAACAGAACACTGAACAAAGTAAAACAACAAAACAGTGAAAATATTGGATTTCAAAAACAAGACAGAAGGAAATCCCACATAGTTGCTATGTTGCATATTGTTATCTTCTAAATAGATGTTCAGACTACTGATTGTAGAGCTTCAAAGTCACAAGAATTAAGTTGTCTTTTGTACCCTGGTTACCATCCATTCAGCCTGTGATCCTCCAAATCAGCCAGTTGCTATGGAGCCAGGGATGTGTGCCCTTCTTGTCTCTTAGTCTGCATACTGTCTGGCTCATGGGAAGAGTGAATTGGTTTCTGATTTCTCTCCCCACCCCACATGGCTGCCACTGGCTCACAAGAAAGAGGAGCAAATTCAGAGCCCCTTTTAAAATAGCAGCCAGCCAAAGAGCTGGACTATAGGTGCAAACAGGAGTGTCAGTTTCCATCCACTCCCAGAGCAAGCATCTCTTGGACCAGGCATGGTGGTGGGACACTCAGGGAGACAAGTTGGGCTTTGGGTAGAAGGTCAAAGTGTTCCTTGGCTATTCTGAGCTTCCATCCATTTTACAAACATCGCTTGAAAATCTACCACATGCCAACCATAGAGAGCTCTTCTCTGATCTAACTCCAGACAGGTAATCAGATTTTTGGTTGGGGAGGCAGTTCTTGATTCATGTGCACCAAGAAGAGCTCTGGGGAAATAATAATACTGGGATAGAAAAAAGAAAAAAGTATCGTTAGTGTTTCAGATCTGAAGGAGCATGTTGGGACCTAGTATGGGCAAAAGGCAGATGAAGGAAAATGAGGCGGTAACAGCCCAGAAATTCGGTGAGACAGGGAAGTGTAGACATGCTAAAACAAGAAGTGAGAGAAGGGTTCCAAGGTAATTTCTACTGCAGGGAATTCAAAGCTATCTCACAGCTTTGTCTGGAATATTAGTGGTACTCAGATTGCCATGAGAGATGCTGATAAATTAACTGATGCCTCTGGAAGGTAATTCATTCAAATGTCCTTTAGGTAAATATTTAAGCTTATTCAGCATCAAGTTAGTCCTAGAGGTTCTGAGAGATAAAAGGATGTGGAGGATGTGGTCTCTCATCCAGTACTAAAAAGAAACCATATCTATGAATAACAATAAGGCAAGAAGCCACCAACACTCGGCATCTCCCAGGACACGTGGAATCCTGGATTTGAGAAAATTAAGAGATGCTACACACTCCATGGAGGAAAGACTAGGTCTGTTTCAAAGGGGCAGCATGAGGGCATGGCCAGGTACCTCTGCCAGTGCATTCTTGTGGCTGAACAAGACAGGTTTGCTGGAT